TTTAAAATAGATAAGTAAACCCCAAAAAAAATACTTTTTTTTTTCAAAATATTTAGTGCATCCTTACAATGCTATTTATTTTAGTAAGAACTCTAAATTTTTTTGTGGGTGACAGGTTTCCAGCGTTGCCACACAAAAAGTAAAATACAATTATGGTCGGGTGCTAGTAAGTTAGATATAATGGCATCAGCTCTTTCAAAACCTGGCTCTTTCAGGCACACTCTTCCCTACTTGAACATATATCAAGCTTGATATATGTTCAAGTAGGTTTGATTTTTACTTGAAAATTGCGTCAACCTCTCCTTAATTTTTAATCTGTAGCATTCATTTCCATTTAAAAAAAAATGATTTGAACTTGCCATGCAGCAACCTTAACTTTTTAAAAAAGTAAGGGGGTTTAAAAAGTGTGTTTCATATAAGAACATAATTAAAAATTCTTTTTATATTTAAACTAAACTATTTTATTAAATTAAATACTTTTAAAAATAATTAAAAGTTAAAGTTATTTAATATTGATACAGTAAGGAAATTTAGAGTTTTATAGCTCTTTTACCATGCCCCTGTTAAACATTCTAAACCAAGTGCAGGCTTTTACAGGAAGATGTGCGATTTCACGTCTTTATATGACCACGCAAGTTACATTTTGCTATGACGGTTTGACCGCGGCTAATTCAAAAAACATTTTAGAAACGCGCTAAATAAAAAATATTCTAAAAAAGTGAAATTAGTTACATCAAAACTTCTTAACAAATGTTTTTATATTAGCGAAACGATTTTGAATAAAGTAACAATTTACTGAAAAAAAGTTTTTTTTTTTAAATATAATTGACAGTTGTATATATTTTTTTAATTCAAAACATATAAATTGTTTGTGTTCATTTCTAAAATAAATCTTATTAAAAAATTAAAAATTGTTATGTTTTTATAAACGATGACATTCTAGGACTACGAAAATCTCTTTAACGAACTTAAATATAAGAATGATTAAAGTTAATGCATTTAAAAAGATAAACAAAATTTTGTTAAAAAAAAAGTTTTAGAAAACCGTTACAATTTAATAAGTTTGATCTTAAATGCTTTTATATTATCAAAACGCTTTTAATGAAGTAAAAAAAAAAAACACTTCTAATTACTTTTAAAAAAAGTATTTATAAAATACTTTTTTATTTTATTTATATAACTGTATTTTTTATGAGAAATATTTACTTTTGAACATATTAAACAAATAAAAAATATATAAAAATGTTGAAACAAAGATTGAAAAGCTTTTTTAATTCGTAAATTAAATAGATTAAGCATTTTAGTTTGATGAGTTTTGTTTTAGTTGCGTTATATATATGTATTTATTTTTTTGTGTTTTTGCTTTAATTAAGTTTTTTTTTATATTTTCTCTTTCGTTAATATTTATTATTTTTTTAAATTTTTTTTTTAGATAAGTTTAGGTAAGTTTTTGTAGCACGTTTTTAAATTTTAAAAATATGCCATGGTCAAATCGTTAAAACATTTTTTTTTTTGCGTGGTCATATAAAGACATGAAATCGCACGTCTTCCTGTGAAAGCCTGAAGTGTGCAACATCTAAGGAATTGAGACAACCATCAAAATAGTATTTTACTACATTATTTTTTGGCTTTATATACTTTCTGGCTGATCCCTAATTTTAACTTTTAAATAAGGGATCGTCCATAAATTACACAATGCTAAATTTCAATAATGAACTTATTAATGAGTCGTATGTTAAATAAAAAATCAAAATAGCTCATTAAGTTTAATGAAAATCGCCACCTGAAAGAACTAAAGATTTCCTTCTTTTTTAAAAATAAATTTAGCGTTGCGTAACTTATGGACGATCCTTTAGTTTTTTATAGGCTATATAGTTTTCAATGGTCTAAGATCTTCTTAGTTCTGCAATTTGTATAGCGTTTTATATACATATATATATATATATATATATATATATATATATATATATATATATATATATATATATATATATATATATATATATATATATATATATTAATAGCAAATCACTTGTCAAATGTTTTATTTTTTACGGTGTTTCATCAATAAAGGCTTTATTTCTACAAAAAAAATTACTGAAAAATTTTTATTGATAAAACCCCATGTAAAATAAAAAACTTGACAAGTGATTTTCTACTAGAATATTAGTGCTCTGTTCTTTTAAGAACATTCAACACTTTATTTTATGGAATACATTTAAAATTATTCATATATATATATATATATATATATATATATATATATATATATATATATATATATATATATATATATATATATATATATATATATATATATATATATATATATCCATCCTTTATACAGGTTGCTAGGGCTTTGAATTACCTGCATGACTCCGAAATTGTTTATAGAGATTTGAAGTCTGACAATATTCTTTTGTGGTCATTAAATGAAAATGATTGCATTAATGTAAAGTTGTCTGATTATGGTATTTCAACATTTGCTACTCCTCAAGGAGTTATTGGTGAAGGGGGAACGCCTGGGTTTCAGGCTCCTGAAGTTAAAACTGGTTGCTCATATGATGAAAAGGTGAAAATTTAAGTTTTAAAATTGAGTATAAAAATTTATGTTAAAAAAGTCTAACAAAAGGTTCTAACAGTCAATTGAAGTTAATTAAAGTTATCATATGAAGTTGATAAAATAAAAAAAGTAATCTTAGTGAAAAAACATCTAGTAATGAGGAAGAGGTAAATATTATTTAAATAAAATTTTTGTAACTATGTAACTTTATTATGATAAAAATTGTTTAATATTTTTTTAGGTCGACATGTTTTCTTATGGTATTTGGTTATATGAACTTGTGTCAGGTAATCGACCTTATAAAGAATATCGATCTCCTTCTGAAATGAAGCGAGCTGTACAGAGAGGTGTTAGACCAAGTTTATACAAAGATAAGATTGATTTAAAGATGCCTTATATTGAAGAACTTATGAAGGTTTGTGTTTTCCATAAATTAGTAATATTAAAATAGTATTCATTTTATGTAACAAACAGAAAATGAATTTATGCCATATTTTATTTCTTATTTTATATACTTTAATCCTTGTATCTACCTCTCCTAGAGACACTACAGTTAAGGAGGCTACTCTATTTTTTATTTTTACAAGTTGTTGTTACAACTCTCTTTTAACTTTTTATCTTAAAAATACAAACATTGACAAACAAAGTTACTGCAGGGAGAAACAAGTTTAGCACGTTACCAGGGGCTTGGTAGCAGTCAAACACACAAATTCTCTTTTACGAAGTGAGCGCTTTAACAACACCACATTGTTTTTATTTTTAGGATTGTTGGCAAGAAAAACCTAATCAGAGACCTTCTGCTTATGAAGTAGTAAGCCGGTTACAGAACATATCAACATATCTTTTAAAACATATATTGGAAGATACAAATTGTTTAAATAAAATTACATGTGTTAGTAAATGGTTACCAGAAAATTGTTGTGGTAATAGTAAATTGTTACAATAAATACAAAACTTTTTTAATATTTTATAATTTTTATGATTTATTGTAATTGTTATTTATATAATTAATATATATATTTTTTTATTCTGCTTTTTTGCCAGCTTTTTTTAAATTTCACTCTATGTTTTTAAATAAAGGTTTTATAAATATTCAGAAGACCTTTGAGTATCCAACTTGTTACAGTTCTTGAGATATTTTGCAGCATTTTTTGCAACTTTTGGATACGGGATACAGCTAACATCTCGTAAACAAAAACTTATGAAATAATCAGAAATTTCTGTTGACTAGCCTTGCACCTTTTTTTTATCTAACAGGCTGGTATACATGTTAATCTGTATTATATTATTTTCTGCGTAGGATGATAAATGCTTGATCTTCTTGGTTCTACTCATGGGTTGTTACTTGTGTCTCCTTAGTAGTGGATATGTAACTCTTCTTGTTAACTCCTAATGATGGAACATCTTTAAAACTCAGTTTAACAATTTTTCGGCTTGCTGGTTGTAAGGCTTCTCAAACTTTGTGTTAGTTCCCAGTAAGGCTGATTCCATCAACTTTAAAATATCAGAGTATTAACTGTGTCATGTTGCACATGGTAGATGTCTTTTTTGTGCTTTTGGTGTGCATTGTCTTAGCTACATAAGAAGCCTTTTGTTTATGACATTCTGTTGATCAACAACAATTTCTATGATTGAATCAAGAACTCTGATTATTAAAAACATGAATAAAGTACCTATATATACTAATAAAAGTATCATCATTACAACCATATTGTTTTGATATATCTTTGCATTTATTTGTGGTCTAGTTTCAAGCTTAAATAATTTTTATATAATAGTATTAACAGAGTGATAGTACCTAATTTAATAAAGTTAATAAAGTTATGCAAGTTTATAAAGTTGCATAAAGATATAAAAAAAGTCATGCAAGCTTGTTAAAATAGCTCTAATCAATGCGTTTTATAAAATTTAATTATTATATTAATAAAAAATTAATCAAATTTTTTAGTAATAAATCTTTTCATTTTTAAAAATGTGTTAACAGCTATTTGATGTTTTTACATATACTAGCTTTTTAATGTTCTAATGATAAAAAACAAATTAGTAGTTAATTCAATGTTTACTTTTAATAAAATTAATTTCTTGATAATAAATCTGCTCTAATTATTATTTAGAACTAAATAAGATAGAAATGGGATTAGAGATTGGGATTAGAGAAATGGGATTAGAGATTGGGATTAGAGAAATGGGATTAGAGATTGGGATTAGAGATTGGGATTAGAGAACATGTAAAATTAGGAAGAGAAAAATTCTGATTTAATGTTGATTAAACTTTTTAAGTAGGAATTATTACTGCTTATGATATCAGTCTACTGTCTAAACAAAAGTAGAATTCTTTTGAATTTCATTCATCTTATAATATTAAATTTTATATATATTAAAGTTATGTAGTATTATTTCATATTTATTTTATTTTTAAATAAAATTTTGTTATTTAGTTCTATTAATTTTTTTTCTTAAGGGTTCTGCTTCATTAATGCTTATCTTTATTTATATATTTATTATATTTTCTTACTCTTTTATCTTATATATTTTATACTCTTCTATCATTTGTTTTAATAATATAAGTAATATTTTGAATTACCACTTAAATTTGGGTTTTTTTAAATATTTTTTTATCACAAAAATGGTCAACCGAAAAAGATTTGTTTAATTTTATATATTTTTTCCATAGAATTGAAAAATCAACCTTTGCTATTGTTATGGTGTCAAGAAAATAGCAATAGAATATGTATCGTGGTTGACATTGAGAATAAACTTGTTGTCAAAAAAGTAGCTTGTGCTGGTCCTCGTGTTTTATGTTTGTTGCAAGTTGAAAAGTTTATTTGGTTGGGAACTGAGGTTAATGGATTCTAATCCATTATATAGTATAAATCTTTAACTTTTATTTGCTTTTTCTTTATTCAGTGCATGATTTGCTTTTTTTTAAGGATTAAAATTGTTTAAATCTTTTAAAGTTTTAAATTACTTTATTTAGGGTGAACAAATAGAAGTGTTTGGGCCAATAGGATCAACAGAAGAGCGCATTTTATGGAGTATACCTCTAAAAGATCATGTTATGAGTATGATTTTATACCAACATCAGGTTAAAGTTAAATTTTTTTTTTGCTGTTGAAAATAGCTGCAGTTGAACTTTTGTAATTCAAGCTCTTCGAAAGATTATTTAAATTGAACAAACTCTCAAATAAATTCTAGTAATTCCAACATATTTTGAGACCTTTTAATGATTTGAATTACATGAGTTAAACTGTACTAATAATTTATGGCTTTATTTTATAATAATTTCCAATATAGAATTTGAATTGCTCATTTTAAGTCAATTAGTATTAAATGGAACTTTAAACATATTTTTAAATTTTAAATTTAGGATTTCCCTTAAATACACTGTTTAATAAAATTTTTTTTACTAAATATCATTTTCATTATTTAAATTTATTTTATTTTATTTTTTCTTTTTTTTTAATTTAAATTAAAAAATGCCATGAAGACCACTACAATCGAGGAAGCTACTTTAGTTGTGGTTACAACCCTCTCTCAACTCTATAACTCCGAAATACGAACTTTGATGAACAATACCGCATACTTGTGTTACTATTGCTTTGAATTTATTTTTATTAAATTTGCTACTGTTTCTTTATAACTTTCTCTTTAAAATCAAATATCAAAAACTAAATCAGCTTAATAATCTTTCTTAAAATTTATTAAATAAGTAATGTCATTTTTTAAAATACTTTTATCATGGTTATTAATACTTGAAAATTATTGAATTTGATAAATAAATTAAAAAATTATTTCATCAGAGATAAATTCTATAAAATTATTGTTGCTTTTGAAATTGGTTTTTAGATTTTGTACTTTTTAATTTTTTTTTTTTTTTTTTAAGAAGCACATAAAAGTTCTAGCATCTCTTGCAAATGGTACTCTTGCAGTGTTTAGAAGACTACAGACTTATTTACATGAGAAATTATCAAAATTTAGTCGAAAAGCAGATATAGTTGATTTTGAGAAAAGAAAATGGTCAGATGTTAATGTGAGATTTTTAATATACATATTAACAGCAATTCTTATAAAAGTATTTTATTCAAGTTTTTTTATAATTATTCTAAATTATACCACATAAGAAGTTTTTCTTAGCGTGTTCTAGTTAAAAGTATAGATTTAGTTTTTTCTAAGAACAAAGTAAGGCTTTTTTTTCCTTAGCAGGTTGTTAAAAACTATTGTTTGCTTTGGGTGATTCAATATAAACTGCTGTACAGAGAAGTGAAAAAAATTATTAAGTGTTAAAAGCAAAATATAAAAATTTATATTCTATTTTTTATTATATTTTAATTTATATTATATATCAAAATATTATTCTTAAAATATTAATCTGTTTTAAGTCAACATTTTTTTCTTATCAAGTTTTATAACAATGTGAGCCTATATATATATAATAGCAAATATATTGCACTAACTCAAAAAGTGTAATGCATTAACCTTTCTAAATTTAGGTAAAATTAAAAAAATTGATTTTGAACATCTACTTTTCATTATTTTTAATTTTAGGGGATTAGTGTTGATCGGCAACCTTTGAATAATTATTTCCAATGCTATATATATATATATATATATATATATATATATATATATATATATATATATATATATATATATATATATATATATATATATATATGTATGTATGTGTGTGTGTGTGTGTAAATATATATTATATATATATATATATATATATATATATATATATATATATATATATATATATATATATATATATATATATATATATATATATATAATATATATTATATATATAAATATATATTATATATATATATATATATATATATATATATATATATATATATATATATATATATATAATATATATAATATATATAAATATATATTATATATATATGTATATATATATATATATATATATATATATATATATATATATATATATATAATATATATTTATATATATAATATATATTATTTATTTGCTTTTAATATGAGCTATCTGTTTATTCATTAAATTGCTTATTAGATAAAAAAGTTTATTTTTACTCTTGTAACAAGCATATGTTTAAAATAAAATAATGTTAAAAGAGTATATACAACAACCATCATTTATTGCACCATGAAAGCATCCTTTATATGAGAATTGTCTTAGGATTTTCACACTAGCTATCCATTTATTTATTAACAACTTATTTTATAAAAAAATTTAACAAAGAGCTATAAAAGTTTTTACTGCTTATAAAAATATGTTTTATATTTTCTTATTGTAATAGAATGCAGGCATTTTAAGAATTATTACAACAATTAAAAATTCTGCAATAAAAATGAATAATATATTAAAGTAGTTAATTTATAAAATATAGAATTAAATTTAAATAAAATAAAATTTAAATAAAATACAAATTAAATAAAATAAAATTTATTATGCAATAATTTAGAGTGTAATAATTTTATTTTTTATCAGTTAAATAATTTTCTATTCTATCAATATGTGTAATAATTTTATATTTATCAAATAGTCAAATCTAATCAAAAACATTTGCATTTAAATCAGCGCTCTTTTTTGACTTTTCTTTTGTGCAACAACCGTGTCTTTTTAAAAACATTGGAGTTTATCATCCAATTTATTTATTTTTTTATAAAAATGACTTTGTGTTTTTCATTTTAGTTACAACAATAGTTATACATTTGAGAAAAAAAAATTATACCTTTGTGAGAGCGAGAGCTAATGCTCTCACTTCCCACTGACGCCTATATATATGTATATATATATATATATATATATATATATATATATATATATATATATATATATATATATATATATATATATATATATATATATATATATATATATATATATATATATATATATATATATATATATATGTATATATATATATATATATATATATATATATATATATATATATATATATATATATATATATATATATATATATATATATATATAAAAATCACGTTAGTGTATTCTACAAATAGAGTGCTCAATGTTCTTAAAGAACAGAGCCATAATAAATTAGTAAAAAGGCTTATTTTCTTCAACAAGTACCATCAGTAGGCTCATCAGGAAGAATGTCTCAACATCAAAATTCAAGTTATAGAAAAAATACTTCACAGGAAGTTGGGAATTAGTTTAATTAATTAATAATTATCAAATCAAAACTCAAATGTGTGTATGGAGATGCTCAAAAAAAAATCTGATTTAAAAATTTTGAGTCTAAATTTGAAACAAAAAGTGCGAAAAAGAAATAGAAATATAATTTAATTCAACCCTCCGTACAGCAAAAGTGTTTCAACAAATATTGGAAAAGTGTTTTTAAAATTAGTTGACAAACATTTCCCTCCCTCTAATAAATTGCACAAAATTTGTAACAGAAACACTATTAAAGTGAGCTATAGCTGTACAAAAAATATTGAAAGAATTATAAAAGGCCATAATTTTGCATTGATTAATAAAAATGAGTTTCTAAAAGAAAAAAATATTGAAAGTTGTAATTGAAAGCAAAAAATTAACTGTCCTATGAATGGCAAATGCATATCAAAAAATATTATTTGCAATTGCATTGTTTCCTTGCAAAACAACTCTGATAAACAGTATATTGGCTTAACCAAGGGTGTATGGAAAATACGTTAAGCTAACCACAAACAATCTTTTAAACTATACTGTCAAAATATATTTGGCAACTAAAAGAAAAAAATATTAATTTTAAATTAAACTGGTCTGTTCTAAAAACTGCACTTGCCTATAATAACATTTCCAAAAAATAATATAATTCAAGAAACATTACTCATTTGGATCAAGAAAGTTTACTAAACAACAAATCTCAATTAATTTCTAAATGCAGACATAAAAATAAGTACCTTTTAAAAAATTATAAAGACAAATAAACAGACAAAAATTATCCTAATTCTAAAAACAAATTTCATAATTAATTTTTAAATTTTAATGTAGTTAATGCAACTTCCTGGTTGCAAATTAACTACAGTTATTACATGATTAATAGAAATCTCCATAAAGAAGCATTGACAAGCAGCCTAGTTTATGAAGAACATTTTTTTCTGCTAATATTGTAGCTAAAACACAATCAAAGTAGTCAATGATGAAGTTATAAAGACAATAAATACAACTGATGAGAATGATATCTTTCCCGATTTTGATCACACGCCATAATTGTTCAATTTCAGGCAAGCTAAGTTGGGCAGGATTTGTTTCTTTAGCTTTAATACTATCTTTGATGTAGATGGCAACACTGTCTCCTCTGCCAATTCTGTCTATATAATGTAGTTAATAACCATCGATTGATGTATTAGAATTTCAATTTGAACCAGGTTTCTGTAAACCATATGACGCGCGGTAAGAGTGATGGATTTTGTATGTTAGCCTTGCATCATGTTTATCTTTATTTGGTGAACATGGATTGTTGGCCCAGTAATAAAGTATATCAGAAAAATCAGTAGTTGGTGGATCCCTAAGCAAAGCTTTATTGTGACTTGTGACAAAGCTTTATTGTGACTCTAAGCAAAGCTTTATTGTGACTTTATTGTGGTCGCAATATTCTACTAGGTTTTGGTTGTTTAGGTTTTGATGTTTTGGTTTTTGAAAATTTTCTGTCTGCAAACTCAACTTGCCAGAACAATTTGCAAAAACATTTGAACAATGTAATAATGTTGATGTAGATGTCAAGATAATTGGAAAGTTTGAAGATTCTGATAGTGCTATGTTAGTGACATGTTAGTTTGCATTAATGATAATATGTTTGACGTATTTTTTGCTAATATCATTTTTTTTAATCTAAATTTAGTTCCTTAGAAAATATAGTTTTAGTTGATTTGGTATTGAAGATGTTATGATTTGGGACAATATAATATCACCCGGTAGCTCTTCTGTGGAGCAACATGATAAATGCATTGTTAAATTGTTTTTTAGTGTTAGTTTTAATTGTAGGATTTATTGGCTTGTACAGAAACCAGATGGGGATGAACTGCTATCATACAATTTTAATTTTCTTAACCTCTGATACCAAAACAGTGAGTATCATTAAATTTGTTGTTCTTTCACGGTATTTCTTTGTTTAGATTTCTTTTTGTGGGTAGCTCTTTCCTTAAACTGCACTCTGCACTGGTTAAATCAGGTTGAATATATATGTTGTTAAAGTCTTTGCTTTTAGCTAAGTTCTTGGCGAGTTTTAAGGTTTCTTTTCGTATTAAATTTCCGTTTACAATTTTGACAATTAAAAGTGCAGGTTTTTTGGTATTGGCAGATGTTTCATCTATTTCATCCATGTTTGTTAAGTTTTCTTTTTTTGTGCATAATGCTGGTGTTGCCTTGCCTTTGTTCGATAAGTTCTTGATATGAATACATTATTATTCGATTAGTTCTCGGTTATTACATTATCATTTGGCGGTAGCTGTAGTTCACTTAAAAAATTGTAATCATCATATTTTCTGTGTTCTTCTTTTGGTTTAGTTGATTCTTTTAATCCATAATAAGACTATGTTATTTGCTTTTTGATCTTTTTCTGATTGAAATTTTGAAACTGTCATTAAACAGTTAGTTTCTTGTGCGTTAAGTTTTCTTAATTTAACTATGTTACTTAAAAGCAGAATTACAACATTATCTGGCTTCTTTATTTCTATTGCTCTAATTCTTTCACTTAGATCAATTATTTGCTTTTCTTGTTCATCAAAAACTACCTTGAAAGCCTCAAACACAGATTTGATTGCTACTCCGAAGTGCTCTTGTTTTAAGACTGCAGCTTTTTAATTAGGGTCAGGTAGTGGAATTTCTGCTTTAGCACACAATTTGGTCATTAATTCGCCAAAATTTTCAAGATCCAACAAATCGGGCAACATTGCAGCAGCTACCATTGGATGATCCAAGTTGGTATTGATTGATGTTATTTATTTGATGGTGGGAAGGCTACCACGCTAATTATCAGTGGATTACTTCCCTGGAGTGAAATATTTATTATATATATTTATATATATCTTATTACACAGAGGCTAAAAAGTTTTAGTATGTATTTTTTCTGTCTTTCAGAATAATTATTTCCTCACAATTCATTTGGCATAAAAATTAAAATTTGGTTGCACCATCCAAGAGAGATAATTGAGTTTTAAGTCAGACATTTTTTGCAGCATTTTTAACGTAAAAGATATGCAGATTGAATTAAATGATGGGTTTCTATCTATGTTCCATTTAATGATATCAATGTGATTTAAACAAAAGTTTCTAAAAACAGCTAACCCAATACTAGAAAATCTGATAATGAAATGCATCTTTATTGTTGAATAATTAAAAGTTTTCAAAAACAATTCTTTTTATTGGGTGTTTGCTGTCTCTTCAGCACATCACTGATTGAAATAAGAAATGCTAAACTCAAATAAACAATGTTACAATCCTTCTTTATGTTACAATGCATCTTTATGTTACAATGTATCTTTATGTTACAATGTATCTTTATGTTACAATGTATCTTTATGTTACAATGTATCTTTATGTTACAATGTATCTTTATGTTACAATGTAGAAATTATATTCTAATTATATTAGAAATTATAAACAATTTTTATAAAATAAGATATAAAATATAGTTTAATTATATTTTATTCTGTTTCTAATCATTCTAGAAAAGCTTTTGAATATATTTTATTATCTAAAGATTTATTTATTTTAGATAATAAACTATATTCAAAGTATATTTATAATTATATTCAAACTATATTACTATATTATAACTATATTCAAAGTATATTTATAATATAATTATATATTTATTTTTGTTTTTTTTATTTCTGTGTTGATATCATTGCATAGTTTGTAAACAAATATATCCACGGATATCTACAAGCATGGATAGAGCCTTAAATTTGAGCGAAACGCAGTTGCGTGGTCACCCGGTATATATATATATATATATATATATATATATATATATATATATATATATATATATATATAAATTATGTTAATGTATTCTACAAATAGAGTGTTCAATGTTCTTAAAGTACAGAGCAATAGTAAATTAGTAAAAGCACTTATCTAATTTTCTTCAACAAGTTGTTTCGCCATCAGTAGGCTTATGCAAACATTAAAATAAGTACCTTTTAAAAAATTCGGTCGTCCATAAATTACATGATGCAAATCTTGACTGTTTCTGACCTCCTCCTCCCCCTCATCACAAAATCGTAACACTTTAGTTGCAAGTTTTGTATGAGTTGACACAAATATATATATATATATATATATATATATATATATATATATATATATATATATATATATATATATATATATATATATATATATATATATATATATATATATACATACATTAGTACTTACTACTTATATAATTAAAATATAGTAAAATTTATAAAATTAATTGATAAAATTAGTTATTTTCTTTTTAGTTGATTGACTTAGAGACAAAGCTACCTGCAAAATGTATGGTGCTCACTCAATTTAATACTGAATTATGGGTAGGCTCAGGTAATAAGATAGTAGTTGTTGATCCTTTGTCTTTGAAAATAATTGAATGCATAGAAGCACTACGAACACGTCACTCTTTAATCACTGCTATGGTTACAGATGAAAGTAATGTATGGATTACTTATCGACGTTCATCTATTGTTACTCAATGGTGTGTAAACACACGTTGTTTACTGTATTCATTTCAATGTAATAGTTTGAATCCTCTTTCTCAAATGCTTTTTACTAAATCAGCACCACATATTGAAAAACAAGAAACAAGTTTATTATCTCCTGAATCTCCCGAATCTTCCGAATCCTTACCTCCTGATTTTAAGACCAAAGTTAGTTTTTTTAAAACAATATCAAATAATTCAGATATAGAAAATGATGCTGATGGTTTTTTAGTTTCTTGCGATAGTTTTACATTTAACAATGTTCAAGAATTGTCTGAATCATCTGTAATAAAAAATTTGTGTGACGTAGAAGAATCCTTACCTGAATCATCTTTAATAAAAAAATTTAAGCATAGCCAGGGTTTAATCTTTAAAACATTTAAAAATAATTCAATTAAAAAAAAAATCATAAACACAGTTGATGTTGATGATTCTAGTATTTTGCGTCCAAGAACATCAGCTTTGTCAAAGAAAACAAATAATGAAAATTGTTATGTTACTTGTTTATATTATAATGGAAATGCATTATGGATAGGTCGGTCACTTGGAGATATTATAATTTTAAATACTAAAATAAATAATGAAAAATTTGGCTGTGTGATTGCTCACCTTGATAAAATGTATGATAAACAGTTGAACAAAAGCATACGGTCAACTATTGCTTTTGCGCCATTGAAAGAGTATAATTGCTTAGTATCTGTTATCCGAATAGAAGATAATGTTTTAGAAAAGTGTCAACTTTATCATTATAAAGCTATGAACATAGATGAACTTTTTGATGTTGAGAACAAACTTTTTAGAGAATTTAGTTTATGATACAAATATTTTTAATAGATTTTTATAAAACAATTTTTTTTGAATTATGTGTTTAAAATTATTTTTTATGTTTTTACTACTATTAAAGTTTTATATAATTGAATATATACATATACATGTTATAAATTATTTTTTTTTAAATCAATCATCTATTGCAATAATATATTTTTGAAAAATTATTAATGATTTAAAATCTTTAAACAAATATTGCTTTATATATAAATATAATTTTTTTTAGTAATTTGAAATGAATTAGGTTATGATAAAAGGGGATCAGTAACAAAAATTGACAAAATGTTTTTTAATCGCTTTTTTTCTGACGCTTGGTTACCAAAGTAACTTATCATGATGAATATACATAACTAAACATAAATTATTGAAACCTATTCTTGAAGCCCCAAAGTCATTATTAATTAATTTTTCAATTTTTGTGTCTTATCCCCTTTTAGCATGACCCAGTTTGAATATTTTTTTTATAACCATATTTTGTTATATGAAGTATTTTTATACATGGTAATGTTTTTTCTAATTATGTGAATTTAATTTTTGTGTCAGTATCTTCATTATGCCTGTTTCTGGATTATCAGCATATTTATTAGTGATGCAATGATACATGTAACACATTAAAATTAAACAATGTTTACAAAAATGAATTTAAAAAATTATTTTAACTAGTGACTTCAAATATGACTTAATTTTCAACACTACCAAGTATCAAAAATGTATTGTATAGAAAGTTTTTGTATTTGATTGTTTTATTTGAATAAATTTTGAACAAAGCTGTTAATGAACAATCTTCTTTAGCAACTTCAATGTATCGTCGCACCCCTAATATTTATAATCTTTTTTTTCATTATTAAAATTGAAACAATTTATTTTTATTTTTATAAAAATTTTAGTAAAATATGGAAAATGCGTATCTTAGTTATATGACAACCACTTGCAATACTCAAGCAAAATGGCATCTTGAACAGTATAAAAGATTTTCATTCTATTCTGAATACTATTCTAACTTAAAAGCAAATAAAGAAAGTTGTCACACTCACGTGAATAATTCTAGACATTCTTATGATCATCCCTCTTTAAATAGTGGAAATTCAAATAAGTTAAAATCAAAAAATAAAAAGCGAAAAAATCAAAAAAAAGAAGAATGTGAGAGTGAGTTTGAACTTGATCAGCAATTTGTTGATTTTCTACGTCAGTCTTCGGAGTTTAAGAAAAAAAGAGGTCTAATAATTATTTGTTAACATTTTTAAATTAAATTTTTTATTTTCTATTTACCTGTAAAACTTTATGTTATTAAGAATAATTCTCATAATATTTTATGAAGCAAGACCATAAATTAAATAACTCAATATTTAAATTATAAAGAATGTTTTCTGTTTTCTTATGACACATATTTCTATAAAGCCAAATATTTAAAAATTTTTTAGATGCTGATAAAATTGCAAATCTAAAAGAAAATGATCCAACAGAAGATTCTGTAGAATATGTTGATGGTAAGAAATACTAGCTAATTAAATGAAGATTTACTGTATCTACCTACAAAAGATATAAAGGAAAATTGCTTAAGATAGATTAGTTTTATGATGCACACTTATATTTGTGTGTAGGTGAGACCAAGGAGAATTGTTATTAATTAAGTAGGTGAGACCAAGGAAAATTAAGTTTTTGTTCTGATTGGGTTTAATAATTTAATATATAATAATAGTTTAATAATTTGGCTTATTTAATAACTATTAAATTTTTTTAAAGTGAAGTTTTTAACAATGGTTAAAGTTTCTTTTAACATTATAACTTTATTTTATCTTGAAGGTTTAAAATTATTTTTAAAATGCAAGTCATGTTTCATATATAAGGGAAATTATGGATATCAAATAAGAAATATTTCATGATGAAATGGTGTATTTTTTATATTTAAGTTATTGCAATTCGTACTCATCCAAATTGCATCTAAATCTGAATGATTAATTTATAATTGAAAACTTTTCATCAAAGAACCAAAAAAATATCTAGCATTATATCGACCACAGACAACATTGTTCTTATGTCAACAGAGTAAGAAATTTCCAAGTGTCAATTGTCTCTCCATGTCTGAAGTCTCCCTGGTTTTCTCTATTGGTATTTCATTACTTTCAGGGAAATTGTGTTCCTTTAGCACAAATACTGTGTTGTCAATGTAAAAATCAATATGTGAAATAAAGATCAATGTGTGTTTATTAATATGTACTAGGTCAACAACTAGTTACAAAGCTTGTTCTTATCCAAATTTTATAAAATAAAAGTAGAGTTTTAGCATTTATAAATCTTATATCATAAAAAAGGTAGTTTTTATCAAATAACCAGAACTGCATTACACCTAATGTCTCAAAAAAGAAAAGAAATTTGTATAAATCTGAATTAGTTATAAATTTAGATCTTTGAATTCAAACCTTACTTGAAAACCTTACTCAAAAACCTTACTCAAAAATCTTACTCAAAAATCTTACCTTAATAGTAAATATCTTATAACTATTGCATAATTATTGCACAATTTAAATCATAATTATAAATCATAGTTTTGTAAAATAAAAGGTACTCTATCTTTAACGTTTTTAAATCATGATGAAAAAAAAATTTGTAAATTTTGTAATAAAAAGTATTCAAAACTGAACACTTATTACACTGGATTAAATGTTTAAAAACTGAAAAACTATTTAGGTAAATTAAAATAAAAAATTAAAAATAAAATTAAAATAAAATAAAGAAATTTGAAGAACAAAAAATTATATCAAGCAGATATAAAACAGATATAACAGATAACAAATTTTAAAAAAATGGATAATAGTTTGATAAATTATGAAAACATAATTAATTCCATCAACAAAGTTATTTATCATTAAGCAACCACTGTTAGAGTTAAAAGGTACGGGAAAAGAAAAAAAATTTATAGAGCAAGATAACAATTAACAGATGACTTAAAAAATTGTAAGTTATATAAATCAGGAAAACAAGATGAAGGAAGCTAATTCTGAAGAACTGATGTACAAGAAAAAAACTAGGCTATAAGAATTTTCAAGCACTTAGGAATAGTCACAGTAAAAAGATGAGACCTAATTGAATGACGAGTAGCACGAGAATGGATTTTATTAGATAGCACCTAAAGTGAAGCAACGTTTTGATAATGTGACAATATTTTGACAAAAGTTTGCTGCATGAACCGATCCAACTATATTTACAATGCGTTTTTGCGCCTTGTCTAAAAGAGATAGGGTATCCTTTGAAGATCTGTTCCAAATATGGCAAAAGTATTCCATAAAAGGATGGTTTTGAGATTTATAGAGATAAAGAATAGAGTTATTAGTAAGAAAGTGGTGAGCACGATAAAGAGATGCAACCTCAGCAGATGCTAATTTTGCAATCGATTTTATATATGACTTCCAAGAAAAATCATAAGTATAAGTTAATCCTAGAAGACAAAGGGTATATGACTCATCAAATACATTACCTTTCATAAATATAGGAAGATCTAGATTGTTGCAATAAGGATTAGCTGAAAAAAATTGAGTTTTATCAGAGTTAAAGTTCTGCTGTAGCAGAAGGGAGATCCTTTTTCTAGCTCAAATGCCCCCTCCAAGCAATCAAAAGGTGATATTAACATTTATTCTTTCTTATCAAGAAAGAATAGATGTTAGTATCATCAGCGAACAGTACCACCTTAGATGTGAGAATTTCTGGGAGGTTGTTAATGTAAACTTAAAAAAGCATAGGGCCAAGGATAGAACCTTGAGAAACTGCTGAAGTTACAGGAAATGTAAGACCAATTTTCCAAAATGACATTGACCTTCTCGTTGAATGAGATATTAATAACTTTGGTATATTTTATACAACTTATATATGACCACATCTTGAGTTCTGTTCTTCTGCATGGAATCCTTATTATTCCAGAGACATTGATGCTCTTAAAGCAGTTCAAGAAAGAGTTACTAAGTTCGTGTCTCAACTCAGTCCCTCAAAGTATTGTCAAAGACTAACCGCTTTAAATATTCAATCTTTAGAGGATAGACATCATAGACCTTATATAGTACTTTAAGATGTACCACGGCCTAAACAATGTCAAGTTCCAGAGACCAAACCAGTTAGCTGCAGCATTAAGTGTGCAGGGACCTGCAAAAAACCTCCAAGGGCAGTGTAATCAAATTAACGCCAAGCAGTAGCTAACTGTAACCAACAAAAAATTTTCTTCACAAATCCCATCGTACCTGGCTGAAATTTACTTCCAAATTCCATAATATCTGCTGCATCATTGAACAACTTTAAAAAACAACTAGATAAATATTTTTCTGAACGTTTATTAGAAGTAAAAAAAAATGACATTTGTCATAGCAGAGCTTCGTTAGTTGCCCTGCTTGCTAATACTTAAAGATTTGTTATAAATTACTATTATATATATATATATATATATATATATATATATATATATATATATATATATACATATATATATATATATATATATATATATATATATATATATATATATATATATATATTTATATATATATATATTTATATATATATATATATATATATATATATATATATATATATATATATATATATATATATATATATATATGTATATATATATATATGTATATATATATATATATATATATATATATATATATATATATATATATATATATATACATATATACATATATGTGTGTGTATGAATGTGTAATATGTAATTACTGCTATTATTATATTATTGCATGTATTGCAATATTAATTCAATATTAGTTTTTATTGTACTTGAAATAAAAAGAACATTAAAATTAATACATACTTTAAATTATTATTCAGGTAAAAAAGTTTACCTCTTTTGTTGTAAGAGTGAAGCTGTAAAAAACCTAATTATGTTTGCAGAAGGTCTAGGAAATGTATCCAGTTCTGGGATTCTCAAAAAAAAAAAAAAAAAGGTGCAATATCAAACCTGGAAACAAGTTTCTTTTAAAGAAAAAACATTTGGAAACAACCTTTTTCTTGTTGTTGGTGCACATGATAAAAAATGTAGGAGAGTATGCCTTAAAAAATTGTCTTTAGAAGCTAAAATCAAATCTTAGGAAAGAAAGCATAGGGACAAGGATAGAACCTTGAGGAACTGCAGTTACAGGAAATGTAAGACCAGCTTGGCTACATTTATTATCAATTTTGTATCAGAACCTTATATATTAACTCAGATTGAGGAGCTGCATAACACTTTGACAGATTTTATGGTGTAAAAACTGAATAATTCATTTTATGGAATGAAGAGATAAGTTGCAGTTTGGTATTTGTAAAAGATATTTCTGATTTAGTTCTTCGTACAAATAAAGTAAAAGGTTTGGTTCCTTATTGCACTTTTGCTATGATTTCAATTGATACTGGACAGGGTTTTCTTAAATGTATTGTAAATGTTTTCGATCCATTATGCAAAAATACAACTTTAGAAAGTCTAGATAACTATATTATGTTACCGTGGAACAGGTTTGGTTTTGGAAAAGATTACTGAAACCTTTTTTTAATTATTAAAAAAAGGTTTCAGTAATTGGAGAATCTATTGCTGAATCTTTTTAGATTTTAAACGCTTTTGAAAAAACTGGAGCTTTATCTTCTGGAGAAAGTTTAGTTATGAATTAAGTATTAGTTGGTTCGCATTTTAGTGTGTCGTCTCCTTTTTTTCATTAGAGTCAGTTTGTGCTTGGTTTTTATGCCAAGGAGGCTGGAGAAAGTGCTCATCGCAACCAATATCAAGTATGAAAGTGATACAAGCGTAAAAGCAATTTAAAGTAGCCATTTTCTCACTGTTGTTTTTTTTTTGTTAAATTTTCAATAAAAATCAAATAATTGCTATTATTTTAAAAGTATAATTATAAGGAATTGCAATTTTCATTTCAATTTTTCAACTTTTTGTTACATTTATTGCATTAATGTTATATTGTAAACTTTGTTAATGTTATTATATATATATATATATATATTTTAAATAACCTTTTTTATAGCATAAATCATTAAATTTAGGAACTTTTTTTTAAAAAAAAATTGTTTTAACAGAAGAACTTTGGTTTGGATGAAATATTCTGATATCTGTTAACTACCAAACCCTCCCCACATGTTACCTTATAGATTATAACTATTTTTGTTAAAAAAAAATATTTTTAAAAGTTAGTTTAGATTTTAAAAATTATTCCAAAACACTTTACCAAACCCAACAATGTTAATTATTAATTATTAAACAAATTAAATAAAATCATAATTAAACAAAAAAAAATAGACCAAAATTTACCCTGGCGATCTCAGGAGAGTACAATACAAATAACATTTATATATTAGAAATATGATTTTACACTTGGAGTTTTTCAATGTTCTTTTTATTTTAATTTGAAAAATTTTGTTTTTTGAAATAAAAAGTAAAATATCTTTTATTTTGTGTATGTTAATTCGTTTATTTTATTGTTTACATTTGGTAAACAATCTATTGTTTACATTTGGTAATCTCTCTATTTAGTTAACTGACTAGATATTGAACGCATCGAAGTTCGTATTTAAGTTTATTTTATAATTATTGCATATTTTAACATTTTTAACATATTTTAACATTTTCTACTCTGATTTTCTCTCTTCTTTATATTAACGCTGCTAAAAAAATGATTTTTTTTTTTTTTTTTTTTTGTTAGTTCTTCAAAAAGGTCCTGACGGAACTGTATTACCGCCTACAGCATTAAACCGCAAACAAATTTACGAAGAAAAATACGGAAATTCAGGTACTCTTGTCCTTAGTTTAGAAACAGCTTTGCAGTGGAAGTTTAATAAATTCATCGACAAAAGTTCACCTTGTTTATGGCCTGCATTGCCAATTAGATTTTAAATGACTCATTATGTCCTGCTACGATTTTCGTAATTAAAAAAGTCAACATTTTATTCCTGTTGCATTTGTTATGGGCAACGAACTATTAAGATTTGCTGGTTAAATTGTAAAAATGTTCATAGCGCGACGTTTCCATTTTCTTGAGATCGCAACTTAGTACTTAAAAGTTAACGGAAACAAACTTGTTAATTTTATAAATTGATTAAATATTTTGTGCATCGTCGTATAAATTATTTCATAAAAGTATTTTTTTTGTGTGTATTTTTCCATTTGCATTTTACAGTACTTGGTAGCGTGCGTTTTATAAAGCGTTGCAATGCAGAATTTATCAGCCAAATTCAAACGCTTTATAAATAATGTTATTATTTATGAATCTTTAATGCATAATAATGTAAATAGATGAATATTTAATCCTTAATGACTGCATATACTGTAAATATATGTATTACTATATAAGTTAGAATTAATATAATTGTACGTATGATTGCGCAATTCATTAAATGTTTTAACGCAAATCTTAAAAATGGCAATATATTGAATATATATTTGAATTATTGAAATATTAATGATGAAATATTTAGATAAAAGATATATTTATCTTTAAGCTTAATTATGCGAAATAATTTTCTAACCTATATTTACATAGAATTTACTTATATACAGGGGCAAGTTCAGCTTTTTAAAGAGGTTAGTCAAAAAAGTCGGTTGCGGATTTTACTGCCCCCTCCCCACAAAAGGACGGGGGGGGGTGATGATTGAGTGAAGATGAATTACAAAAAAGAGCACCTACCATAAATAAGTTATTTGCAAAGCCTTCAAAAAAGCGGCTCAAATGGGGTTGCATATTTAATATATATATATATATATATATATATATATATATATATATATATATATATATATATATATATATATATATATATATATATATATATATATATATAGTATTAAAACTAGCAAGGATCCATTAAATCTACAAAAATAAAATATTGTCTGTGGTATTAAAATACTTTGTGGGCATCATTATTGTGTATAATTGTAACATATAAATAATACACCTGTATGGAGTATAACAAATCATTAATTAAATAGGCAAGGTTTGCATAGTTAGGTGACTTGCAAATAGAATAACAACTTTGTAAAAGTAAACAACTACAATAACATTAATACCATTATTATAAAAAAAGTATAATGTAATTGATTACTATCACTATCATACTATGAGAAATGTAATAACACAAAAGCAATAATATGATAACTAACCATAAAAACCCATTTTGTTATTTTATTTCATTGATAGATATGTTATATAATGTTAAACAATTGTAGTATTAATGTTCGTAAACAAAGTTATGCTTACAGTTAATGTGTATGTTTTGTGTTTGTCATGTGTTTGTCATTTTGTGTATGTCATGTGTTTATTTTCTCTAAATTGAATAATGATCAATAAAGTAAACTTCAAATAATGAAAGCTTACTAAATTAAAACCATATTTCAACTCAAATAACCACACAAGGTAGAATCTCAAGGTAGAGCTGAAAAAAAGGAGAAAAAGTATATAATAAACAATGAATATAATGCTCCTAATTAAAATACCAAAGATACAGTACATAACGGTACCAGTTTCGATTAACAATTGACAGGTAAAACTAAAGATAAATAGAGAAAAAAAGAATACAATAAAAATTAGACATGTTTAAATTTATAAAGATAATAAAACTTCATGAAAAAAATAAAATAACAACTAAAATAAAATAAATAATTCTTTTAAATAAAACTGTAAAAAATAAAATAATTATATTTTTTAATTTAAAAATTATACAAACTTTCTATTTGAAGAAGATCTTAAAGATACTGAATAAAGATTAGTATACACAGTGTATATACAAACCTTTATTCAGTATCTAATTGACAATGTAAAAAACACATAAATTATTCCTTAACATCATAGGAATTGTCTATTAATCTAATTGTTAAAGACAATTATTCCTGATTGGAACAGTCAAAAGCTTCATAAGCAATAACTGAAAAAATTTGATTTTCTTTTATTTCAGAAACCAAAATATTCTGAATGTCCTTTCCCCAACAACTTATTAATTCATTCTGTGAGGAATTAGAAATATAAGATGCATTCTTTGCACAGCTGTTAAGATAAAGTTCAAGAATTTTATCCCCACCTCTGATTCTGTAGTTTAAAAGTTCAATAAAATTACCTACTCCACCCACTAAAGAATATTTGCCAATGACCATCACAATGACCTCTGAAAGCTATATTAAGTTGACCTAAGAAAATAATTTTCTCACAAAACAACTTCTTACAATTTAATCTCCTTTTCACATTCTTTATTAAAATATCTATATTTTAAATATTTCTATTCATAGTATTTAAAACTGCGGAAAATATGGTCCAGGCATTATAATGTAGAATTTGTACTGCGTGATGATGTTCATAAATATTTCAGCTGAGTGATATTCATAATTATTCCCATTTTTCCCAAGGTAATGTCTATTAAAAGTGCTCACAGCATCTGGCTTATATTTGAATGACTGAGAATACAAATGTTTAAATCTAGAAGTTTTTGAAAGGTATTTATATCTAAACAAAACGCAACACAAACAAAATGCTCCATTTTCAGAAGGTGAATATCTAAGCCATGAAAATTGTTTTAATGATAAAAGTTTTTAAAGATTGCCCATTTGTTTTTAAAAAAAAAGTTTCATCAGGAACAAAAACATTTTGAATCAAATTTTATATTTGTAAATCTTTCAAAGTAGAAGCCTTCGAACGAAACAATAAATTAACAATATCTGATGATGAACATAGAACACAAGGTTCAATATTAAGATTAAACATAATTTTATATTTTAGGAAAGAACTGTTCTATAGTAACACTAAACTCTTGTAGAACACACAGTTGAAAGAGAAAGAACACAAAGAAACACAGACCATAAAAATTCTTTACACATATGAAATGTTTCTTCCTTAACAAGATCATTTTTTAATTTTCCTGAGTCTATATAATGTGTGGATACAGACACTGCTAACAAATTATCAATTGATGAAAATTCATTTGGATACATTGAGCACAATCTTACAAACAATGGATGATTACTGTAAAAAGAGGCATTTAAATATAAATCAATTGCTGTCAGTATTCTTAAATCCATTGCCAGACTATTATCACCACACAGATAAATCCAAAATGAGCTAAATAAGCAATTGTCAGTTGATTTAGCTGAATCAGATTTGATCAGATCTTTAACAGAGCTGCAACTGATCAGAGCTGTAACTGATCACTGTAACTGATCACTGTAACTGATCACTGTAACTGATCACTGTAACTGATCACTGTTACTGATCACTGTAACTGATCACTGTAACTGATCACTGTAACTGATCACTGTAACTGATCACTGTAACTGATCACTGTAACTGATCACTGTAACTGATCACTGTAACTGATCACTGTAACTGATCACTGTAACTGATCACTGTAACTGATCACTGTAACTGATCACTGTTACTGATCACTGTAACTGATCACTGTAACTGATCACTGTAACTGATCACTGTAACTGATCACTGTAACTGATCACTGTTACTGATCACTGTAACTGATCACTGTAACTGATCACTGTAACTGATCACTGTAACTGATCACTGTAACTGATCACTGTAACTGATCACTGTAACTGATCACTGTAACTGATCATTGTAACTGATCACTGTTACTGATCACTGTAACTGATCACTGTAACTGATCACTGTTACTGATCACTGTAACTGATCACTGTAACTGATCACTGTAACTTATCACTGTAACTGATCACTGTAACTGATCACTGTAACTGATCACTGTTACTGATCACTGTAACTGATCACTGTAACTGATCACTGTAACTGATCACTGTTACTGATCACTGTAACTGATCACTGTAACTGATCACTGTAACTGATCCCTGTAACTGATCACTGTAACTGATCACTGTAACTGATCACTGTAACTGATCACTGTAACTGATCACTGTAACTGATCACTGTAACTGATCACTGTAACTGATCACTGTAACTGATCACTGTAACTGATCCCTGTAACTGATCACTGTAACTGATCACTGTAACTGATCACTGTTACTGATCCCTGTAACTGATCACTGTAACTGATCACTGTTACTGATCCCTGTAACTGATCACTGTAACTGATCACTGTTACTGATCACTGTAACTGATCACTGTAACTGATCACTGTAACTGATCACTGTAACTGATCACTGTAACTGATCACTGTTACTGATCACTGTAACTGATCACTGTAACTGATCACTGTTACTGATCACTGTAACTGATCACTGTATCTGATCACTGTAACTGATCCCTGTAACTGATCACTGTAACTGATCACTGTAACTGATCACTGTAACTGATCACTGTAACTGATCACTGTAACTGATCACTGTAACTGATCACTGTAACTGATCCCTGTAACTGATCACTGTAACTGATCACTGTAACTGATCACTGTTACTGATCACTGTAACTGATCACTGTAACTGATCACTGTTACTGATCCCTGTAACTGATCACTGTAACTGATCACTGTAACTGATCACTGTAACTGATCACTGTAACTGATCACTGTAACTGATCACTGTAACTGATCACTGTAACTGATCACTGTTACTGATCACTGTAACTGATCACTGTAACTGATCACTGTTACTGATCACTGTAACTGATCACTGTATCTGATCACTGTAACTGATCCCTGTAACTGATCACTGTAACTGATCACTGTAACTGATCACTGTAACTGATCACTGTAACTGATCACTGTAACTGATCACTGTAACTGATCATTGTAACTGATCACTGTAACTGATCACTGTAACTGATCACTGTAACTGATCACTGTAACTGATCACTGTAACTGATCACTGTAACTGATCACTGTAACTGATCACTGTAACTGATCACTGTAACTGATCACTGTAACTAATCACTGTAACTGATCACTTTAACTGATCACTGTAACTGATCACTGTTACTGATCACTGTAACTGATCACTTTAACTGATCACTGTAACTGATCACTGTTACTGATCACTGTAACTGATCGCTGTTACTGATCACTGTAACTGATCACTGTAACTGATCACTGTTACTGATCCCTGTAACTGATCACTGTAACTGATCACTGTAACTGATCACTGTAACTGATCACTGTAACTGATCACTGTAACTGATCACTG